GATTCCAGAGTTGAAAGTGCCAGCTGTGCCCTGATTTCCTCTACAAAACGTTGTATTCATCAGGGAATACAATTCAGATGTCTTTTGATTTCATCACAGGTTCTGTGTCACTCCAGGGAAGTCCCGGTGAGGCCAGATGAGCCCTGGGGCGTGACACGCCTCAGTGCCGTTCCCCGAGACGGTGTGCTCCCGGCTAGGGAGACCCCCGACCCGAGGAGGCCTCACTCGGCCCACATCTCTGTGTGCGGGCGCTCCGCTGTTGCTCTCGGTCACGTTTCTTGAGCGCCTCCCAGGAGCCAGGCAGCCTGCTGCGCGCCTTACGGGCACTACGTGGTGTCGTCCTCGGACTCACCCGAGGGGCTACGATTGTCATCCCCACTGTTACCTTGATTTCCGAGAAGGAAACAGACGTTGGGAGATGAAGGACCGTGCCTGGGCTCCTGTTGCTAGAGCTAGACATGAACCTAGCTCGGTCTGATCCCAAAGACCTTGTGCCAGAAATGCATGCATAAAAGTCCATCCACCCGTCTGTCCACCCGCCCAGGTTCTGACTGTGCTAAAAGCCACAGAATCCTTGATTTCTCTCCCACCACACCACTTTTTCTTAGTTTTATTCCTTTAGCAGACCTATTAACCCTAGTTCCAAGACGTCTTAATGCCTCAGAATGTCTTCCTTTTGGGATTATGACATCTTCCATCTTTTCTAGAATACAAAGCTGTTTCTTCCTCTTATGAATGGTGTTTGAAGACGCATATCCCAGGCTCTTTCATTTGCAGAGTGACATTCACAGCAGAGATCCTTCGGGTGGGAAGATGACAAGGACCGCCCAGGCTGTAGATAAATGCCATAGGCTCTCTCCTTTGTGTAAATGACGTGTGTCAGAGTGGTGTTTAACCTCCTCCGAAGCACCTTTCCTGAAAATGTCCAAGGCAAGCGAATTTTCCCCTAATTAGCACTTTTATTAATCTTTCCCGTGTCAGTGCTAATGCTAACCAGTCCAGTCCCAGTTTGGCCGGCTTACTGTAAAACATGAGGGTGTTTTTATGATTTCATATTAGAGGTGTTTCAGTTTCCCTATGAAAATACAGTCCTGGATTCTACAACGCATATCACAGATGAATAATTTATCTCATGCAAAAGCCATATAGCAGATAAACAACAAGGCCCTACTGTACAGCACAGAGAACTATGTTCAATATCTTGTAATAGCATATATTGAAAAAGAACATGAAAAAGAATATATATATATATGTATAAAAAACTGAAACATTAGGCTGTACACCAGAAATTAAAACAACACTGTGAACTGACTATACTTTTGATTTTTTTTTTTAAAAAAGGCACATATGTATGTGGTATATTGGAAAGCATGCCAAGCCTTGGGGCCACCTCCTCTGCAATTCAGGCTTAAGTAAATAAATGGTGTTCTTCACTTCCTGTTAACCGTGTTTGGTTTTCAGTATTGAGTATTAAAAATATTATTTTCATTTAATTAGGAGCTGTATATTGAAGACAATGTCTGGAAGCTTCTACTTTGTCATTGTGGGTCACCACGATAATCCAGTCTTTGAAATGGAGTTTTTGCCAGCTGGAAAAGCAGAATCCAAAGTGCGTATAGAACCTTAAAAAATTCCGTAACAATTGTTATACGTTGTTGTCATGATAAAGGTGTAATGTGATTTTTAGAACTGGGAGAGACCTGGGCAGATCAGGTAACGACGCCACCACGGTTAAATGAGGCCGCCCTGCGGCCCCACGGGTTGATAGAAGCCAGCCAGGAACACCCTCTGAAACATTCATCCTCTGATTCAGCACACACTTGGCACGTACTGGCAGGATGTCCTGGGGCTCTTTTTCCTGGCCTTTGGTTCAGTGTCACCCCCTGCGGAAAGCTGCTCCTTGAACACACAGAAACATAGTTCACCTGTTGTGGGCCTGCAGGAACAGTTGTCACTGCCTTGAAATGCCCGGAAAGCCCATCTGGCGCAGTGAATCACGTTGTTCATCAGGACGTATGTACTAGATCCATTTACACCTGGGGGTGTGAAAGGAGCCCCTCCTGCTGCTGCTGCCCGAGGCGGGCCGTTCTCAGGCGCCTTCCGCAGCGCCCACTGGCCGGGTACCCGCCTGCTCTCCTCCCCAGTGACACCACCAGCTTGGCTGTTGTCAGGAATGGTTCCAGAGAAACAGGCTTGCTTCTAGAACACACTGCCGTTCAGAGAAACAGACCCGTAGAGTCTTGAGGTGGGAGTAGCTGGGTCCCTTCCACCTTTCTGCACAAGGCTGCATGCCTGATAAGTTGCTGACGAGTTACGCTTTCTCCCACCCTCCAAAAATAAGCTTTAATGTCCTTTAAGGCAGGAACTCATGTCTGAGATTGGTAGTGATGGTAATGTCCAGTGTAAGACACTTCTCAACTATTCAGATCTTGCCACTAAATGTAGAAATTTCAGGTATTAATCCTAGCAGGTGTTGTCGCTACATTATTTTCCCACATTCACATGAGCACACAGCTCATTAAAACTGTGACCGGAGCGGGGGAGGGTACAGCTCAGTTGCAGAGTGCGTGCTTAGCATGCACGAGGTCCTGGGTTCCATCCCCAGGACTTCCATTAAATTAAGTAATTAACTAACCTAATTACCTCAACCCCCAAAAGAGAATTTTGATTGGCGGCATCTCTGTAGCAGCAAGTGCTTTGTGTGGTATACGGCTCCTTACATACAGTTTTTCGCTCAGCACAGGGGCCTTGTGGAAGGCGGAGCAGTTCTGCAAAAATCCTCTGCTACATGACTTGATCTTAGTTCTTTCACCTGCTACCACTCACTTTCTTAAAATGTTTCTGTAGTTCTCTTCTAATCTCTCACGATTGATTATCAGTCTAAAGGAAAACACTGCTGTGAGCCAGACACAAAATGCATCCATTTCTTTGAGGGTTAAAGTGGCTTCGTCATGGTGACGTGAGTGAGGTGTAAACTGGCTGCACAGGGGGCTCCAGGGCCACCGGCAGCCGTCCTCCAGCCTGGTCCCAGCAGCAGCCGCCTGGGCGAGGAAGTTATATTGTTCCCTAGGGCTGCCGTGACAGGACCAGAAACTGGGTCCCTGAGAGCAACAGAAGTGTTCTGTCTCACAGTTCTGGAGACCAGAAGTCTGAGACCAAGCTGTCGGCAGGGCCGCACCCTGTCCAAAGTCACTAGGGAAGGTCTGTCCCAGGCCTCTCTCCCAGCTTCTGGCAGTTCTGGGCTTGTGGTGGCCGAACCTGTCCTCACATGGCCTTCTCCCTGCATGGGTATCTGTCTCCAGACTTCCCCCTTTTATAAATACACCAGTCGTTGGATTAGGGACCCACGACCTCATGGTAACTAATGACATCTGTAACAATCTTCTTTGTAAGTACGGCCACATTCTAAGGTACGGAGAGGCATGGCTGCAACATAGGAAGGTGGGGCACACAAATTCAACCTATATAACACAGGTGCCCTTTGGAAAACGCATTTTGAGAGTAAGAATTCCACCGGAGTGAGACTGCATTCCAGGGTGTGAGTTCCCTCTCCACATTCTGGTGGGACAGTCCCACCTTTTCCAGTTAAGCCTTTTCAGCCCATGAAAAGGACACTGCCAGCTTTGACAGGATCGTCTCCTGCTGTTGGCGCAGGTGACTGCACACAGTGGGGCTGAGCACGGCCTCCTGCCAGGTAAGCTTACACCTCCAGGAGGCCTCTGCCGGGCTGTCCACTGCTCAGCACGTGTCGCTGCACACGAAACCCCTCTCCCCCCGCCACCCCCACCCACGGCCTGTGCCGGCAGCCCTCCTTCACCACCTCCTTACCCTGGCCTACCGAAGCTGCTGTCCTTTATCCATAACCACGAGTTTCTTCCTGTCTTCCTCCTCAAAAAGATGCGAGCCTCTTGAAAGCAGGATCTACCTTTTTTTTAAATGTAGTATTCTTTTTTCACATGCTTAAATGGCTATAGCATTTAGTAACTTCCTTCCTGCAAAATTAAAAAAATCTATATAGTTTTTTGAATATGTCATTTCATAAGTCATTAGCTGTTTCTATTTGTTGAGTTTTAGATATCAAATTAGAATACAGAAAATGATGTGAAGACACTAAAGATCTTTTATGTCTCATGATAGTAATAATAGAAGTAAAAGTAGAAAGCTTCCCCTCCACGAGGAAGCTGTACAGAATTTAAGAGGGAAATGTTAGCGTTTTGACACTGTACAGAAATGTTAACCTGCTGCTGCTGGCTGTCACCCAGGACGACCATCGCCACCTGAACCAGTTCATAGCGCACGCTGCTCTTGACCTTGTGGATGAGAACATGTGGCTGTCGAACAACATGTACTTGAAAACGGTGGACAAGTTCAATGAGTGGTTTGTTTCAGCATTCGTCACTGCAGGTCATATCCTTTCCTACTTAATGAAGAGGGCTAATGAAGGGGGGGCAGTAAACCAGCCCAGCACAGGGCCTAGATGCTAGGCTCTGAGTCTGCGGACTGCAAAGTGTCAGGTAAAAATCACCATTTCTGGGGCTTTTACTTTCTTAGGGAAAAAACATCCACTTTTAAAACCAAGTCTCATGTGTAAAACTAAGGTTTATCTGAACCATATCAAGAGTGATTTTATTTTGCAGTTATGTTCTAAGTTAAAAAGATTCTGTTCTCTTCAAGGTAAAATTAACCTAACTTTGAACCTGGGTGATGTATTCCACTTTTCCAAAGCAAAATACACCGCATGTCACTTATCTGCGGACTGTTGTATCAGCGGATTCCTTTTCAGCTTTCATTTCTAAAGATTATACCTTAATTATTTCACATATGAGATTCATTATGCTGCATGACGTAAGGCAAGAAGATGGAATAAAGAACTTCTTTACTGATGTCTATGATTTATACATAAAGGTATGGTATGTTCTGTAACTGTAATAATCTGATTATAAAAAGGGATTCAATTAGGGAAAAAAAATGATCCAAACTTGACAAGAACTTGGCCTGCTGAAGTACCTCACTGAGAGTGCCCAGTTTCCACGTCAGACCAGCTCTCCCCCTGTGCGCCTTGCCCCTAGCAGCGCCTCCCCCAGCACGTCTCCACCACCACGGTCACATATGGAGGGCAACAACTCGTGGTCAGCATTTTCAAATCAGTTTCATTCTCCCCCTTTTGGTGCATCTAGTTGATTTTATGAGGAAACCCTAAAGAGAGAGGCAGAAGCGGTCTGCATAAGGGAAGCTGCTTCATAATTCTAATAAAACGTCTTCCATATACTCAACAAATAAGTTACAATGCAATGCATCTAGGTCATAAACCGGTAGGAAGTGATTCATGTGTTATCAAAGAGTCACTCGAGGGGAACGGTGCCACCTGCATTTTGTGATATTAACTGGAGAAAATGAAATAGTAATGAGATGTCAGTGGTTTAACTGCAGTGCTAACAGTATATTCTTTTTTTTTTAATGGTTAGGGGGTGGGTATTTCTCTATTTCTCTTTCAATGGAGGTACTGGGGATTGAACCCAGGATCTCATGCATGCTAAGCACTCACCCTACCACTGTTTTTATACCCTCTACCCCAACAGTATATTCTTAATTTAAATGTATGGTATTTAGATGAGACTTTTTGCATATCAGCACAGTTAACAACAATCAATATTCCTAGTCAGAAGTAGCAAATACATAGCCTTCTTATACAGATGGACAACGTCAAGTGATGAAGGTATAGAAGTTGGTCATTCTCCTCATTTGTGACTCCATCCAGTACTAATTCTCTCACACATGTTATCATATACTCTTTACATTATCTGAGAAACTCATCACTTCACCTCGCGTTAAAGGAGAGTATTAAAAACCTGACTTAAAAGCTTGCCTTGCAAGAGTGACTTTTCATAGCAGTGTGGCGGAACATTTTCTTCACTCTGAGCGAATGGCACTTAGTTTGTTTTATGTAGCCAATCGGCCTGACGGACAAACCCCATCTTTATGACAAACGTGAGTGGATGGGCGTTTCAGGCACAGGTGACCCCCGGAAGTCAGCTGAGCTGACGCAGGCAGCACTGCCCCGACCACAGGTACTTCCCTAAACTCCAAGACAGAAACTTCCTTAAAGGGATGTTACTGTTTAGCAATGCAACATTTTCACTGCAACTGAAAAATGTAGTCTTCAGACTTTTGTTTTGAATGTTTTTGATGACTTAAAAGTTCAAAATAATTTCCTTTTAGAGATCTATGATTTGTCAGCCGTGTTCCTTTGACAAACTCACTCTAATACTTTTCTTCTCTCCTAGTTTGCAATGAATCCGTTTTATGAACCCAATTCTCCTATTCGATCAAGCGCATTTGACAGAAAGGTTCAGTTTCTTGGGAAGAAACACCTTTTAAGCTGAATGCAGAAAATTCAGAAATAAACAATGTCACTGCAATCGGGTGTACTCAGGAATGTGTACATTGTAAGTAACTTGATTAAACAGCCAGAAAAGTTTTACTTGTAGCCTCCATTTATCTTAATGAAATTGCTTTTATATTTAAAAACAGTATGTTCAATTTCTTACCATTATCAACAGATTGATACTTGCTTGTGAGTGGTGTTATTTACAAAAAGCTCTTTGTCAATAATCTTGAAATATTTTTAAAACCTGAGAATAAGCTTTTGACTTTCTTTGCTCCTATAGCTTGATCTTGATGTAATAACCCAGAACCAAATGTCACCGTCAAGCTTTGGTAGGCAGATTTAAAACTGAAAGCTTCTGCAGTGGGGAGTGAAGCACGCACATGGGCTTATCAGTACATGCAGAGATGCTCTGAAAATGCACAGGCAGCGTAAACAGCACTGCCCTAGAAGCTGAAGCAAAGAGCCTGCGCAGCACCGAAGGCGTTGCGCCTGCCCCTGTCGGAGGCTAGGGACAGTCATCCTGCCGCTCTAGAATCCTGGGTCCATGTCTGTAAAACAGGAGGCTCGGACCAAAGTAGCAAGCTCTGTTCTTATGTTTCCCTCCCCTCAGACAGCTAACTAAAGACTAAGTGGGCCTGCTGACAGCTGTACCAGTAAAGAGCTGTGGGCAGGGCTGGAATTGTAAAGCAGGAAAAGCTTGCGTTACAGTCACATCTGCACTCTCGGCCCTTTAGGCTGTATACAAGGGGGCGGGAGGGGCCTCTTGTGCTGAAACAACGTGGCGTCCCCCTGTAAACGAGTAAGTGTCCATTGACAAGCAGGTAATATCACCAGGTATTTTCTGTGCTAATTGTGGGCACTGAAGAATTTTGTTAATTCTGAACAACCTGAGCAAGGAATTCTAAGTGTGGTCTTGTATCCTCATGTGAAGTTGCTACCATAATTTTTTGCCCTATTTATTTGATTTCCTAAATAAAGATGTCTGTCCAAGATTGTGGCAGTTTGATACTGACTGTTTTAAGTGCTGCTAACCCCTCCACTACTGCCATCTTAGTCCCATTTCCCCTACTGAAAGTCTGCAGACTAACACTATGCAGAACTCGGATTGCCTCAAACCAGCTGCCAGAGCTTTGGGAGCAGAAAAAGACACTCAGCTAGGAATCCAGGAGTAGTTCCAGCCCCACTCATTGGAGAGACCCACGCGTATGTACTGTCTGCAGGCTGCTCTGCCCTCCAGGAGCGGGGAACCCAGAGGGCAGCAAGGCGCCCGTCTGGAACAGCAGTGTGGGGTTTCAGCAGGAGGGCGCAGGGTGGGGCGGTTCAGACCCTGGCTCAGCCGCACAACGGCGGTGCCCTGCACACAGTGAGCCTTTCACCAGGCCTGTGATGGTGAGACGGGAACGGGCCCTGTGTGAGTGGACCAGTGTAGTTAAGTATCAGGTTTCACATGACTACCTCTGATGGAGCCTGAAGGCAGGTGATGAGCTTAGGAGTGGTGGGACCTCAAAGGTGGGCCGCACCGGGAAGGCCTGTGCGCATCTACGTTAGCATTCCCAAAGCGCTTCACGTAAAATGCGCAAACCCCAGTCTGTCCCCTTTCACTTCCTAGGGTGCTTCAGGGGTGCCCGTGTTTTCCACGTGTGTAGACCGCTGATCTCCTGTGCCCTGCTATGCCGTCCTTTCTCTTTTTGTCATGACAGCACCTCCTGGTTGACCGTGCACAGTGGTGACCTCTCAGGATCCACTGTTGACACAGATCCACGTTTCGACCTAACACCTCCCTGCCCCACAAGGCGCGGGTGTCGTGGAACTGGCGTGACAGTGCCGTGGTCTTAAAGTGAAAGCTTACCCAAGTTTTTATAGAAATGTGAAACACAAGGTTGTGTTCACTTTGACCAGAGTAGGGAATTTTTCCCAAGGGGGGAAGGTGACAAAAACATTAACTCATCGACAAATGTGCACTTTGCCATCTTCCACGTGGCACACTGACGGCTACATCGACTGTCACATGGACGTCTGTCCATCTCCCAAGTTCAGTGGTTTGACCTTTTAACACTGAACACTCTCTCAAAGGCCTTACATCCGCAGACAGTGCGAAAGCACCTGTGCCAGGCCGGGTGGCGGGCATCGGCGGTTATGGTGGGGCCCCTCGTCCCGGAACAGGGCAGTGCCGTGCTCCCTCGGGGCTCTGCCGCTGCTTCCGCCACTCGTGCCACCACGGTCACCTGCTCTGCTCCCCAGCTCTCGCTTTCTCCCACTTCTCATCTTTGTCTAGGAAACACCAGCCTATCAAAGCCCTTTGACTTAAACAGAAGAATCAGGTTTCCAGCTACCTTTTGCTGCTGTTGGAAGAGCTCCTCCACGGGTGACTTGTCACTGCTTTGAAGGCCGAGGCTCCTCAGTCAGGTCCCGTTCCTCCTCCTCCTGTCACAGTTTAGTACCGTGTGGGTAGTCAGCCTCCGTCCACCAGGCCCCTCTAAGTCACGGTGTGAAGCCGATCACTCTCCCTTCCATCAGCCTGTCTGCACACACGAAGATACATTCCTTTGATCGTTTTTTGCTGCCCAGCTCTAGACCTCTTGAACGCCAACTAACCTAATCCCTGAATACTTAGCTGAAAAAGAGTTACTGTGAAGATGCTTAAAAGTTTAGAAAAATGACTGAGGTGTTAGTTAAATCCATACAAGTATCGAAATTACACATTTTGTATAAATACCTACACACACACGTTATGGGCTGAATTGTGCTCCCCCAAAATTCATATTCAATAGGCCTAGTCCTCAGTCCCTCAGAATGGGACTATATTGGAGAAGGCGCCTTTAAAGAGGTAATTTAAATTAAAAGGAGCCCATGGGGCTGGTTCCTAATCCAATCTCACTGGTGTGCTTATAAGAGGAAGTCTAGACACAGAGAGGTCAGGGGTGGAGGGAGTGCTGTGTGCAGAGGAAAGGTCACCTGCCAGCCACGGAGAGAGGACTCAGGAAGAACTAAACCATACACCTTGATGTTGGACTTACAGCCTCCGGAACTGTGAGAGAAGAAGCTCCCACTGCTCACACCACCTTGTCTGGCACTCACGGCAGCCATAGACACTAACACAATACCCTTCCCTAGGTACCAAACACCTAGACGGACACCCGAAGAGCTGGCACGTGGCTGTCTCCACGCGCAGGGGCCGGGTGGCAAGGGTAGACACTGTCCCCTGTCATTTTCAACCATGTGACTCATCTATTCAAAACACGAACAACAAAAAATTTACTCCTAATACCCACTGTTGACCAAGGTGTGGGAAACTGGCACTTCAATATACTACAGCTATTTATCTATCAATGGGGAATGGTTTGAATGGAGTGTGAGACACCCAGGCAGCTAATAAATGAGGTAGGTCTACTACAGTGGAAATATATCCAGACAGAGGAAGAGAAAAGTGCAAGTCCAAATAATCAGTACACCTGATTTAAAATAACAAGCCCTCTAGAGGAAAAGGAATATATAATATACACCAGTTTGTTAATGGTGGGTTCCTATTTTGTTTTTTGAATGGAGGATTATAGGTTTTTTGGTGGGGAAGGGGGAACTGATTATAAATAATGAGAACTACAGTTCTCTTTAACCTGAGAATACAAAGAGATTTCATTTCCCCAAATTCAAAATGTTAAAATGGTTTGCTTAAAGCCGAACTGTCTGCTATGTTAGGAAGTCAGACTTTCAAAAGCTTAGCTTACTGTAATGATATTCTTTGTCAGTGGTTCCCCCGCAGTAGGGGCAGGGAGAGAACTCTCAACCTAGCTGTTCCAAATGTATTCCCCTGACATGACAACATGACACCCCCCACCAAAGCATGTCCCTTGATAACCCACCGCCCCACAGTCAAGGGTTCCGTCCTCATGAACACACAGTCCAGGCGTTGGTGTGCCTCTGCAGGACAGGACTGGCAGGAATGGCACAGCATGTGAACTTGAACTTTACCCACGTGAGACCACAATTTGCTTTATCAGTAAGTCTGTTCACCACGGTAAAATGACAAAAAATCTCGAGACCAAATCACTAAACACTGTTAGTGGCAGAGAAGACACTGAATAAACATGACCAAATAAAGACATCTTCATTTCCCCTCCCACAAAGTACAATCCACACATAGTGCTTCCTCCAAGGGTTGTCACTGCTCTGCTGGAAAGTCAGCTTCTCTGCTGGACGGGGTCACACGTGTGGCACACAAATGGCAAGTGATCACCAGAGAGAACAATTGTGATGTAGAATGAAAACGTGAATACGTACATCATTTTAAAGAGAATGAAGTAATAAAATCAAACAACTGCCGTGCAAATGCATTAGATTTTAATCTTTAATATCTAACATTATTGCTTTAGGACATGTTTTCCCTGAACCAGGAACAGAATGCTAATTACATAAAAATATACACATAGAAAAAGTAGCTCTCCATTTCCCAGGGAAAAAACAGTAATTTCTAGAATACTCAAGTGTTTTAATTATAATTAGTCTTGGTCATATCATGTATTAGCTCTGTAACTTACGCATTTAAATTAAAAGTTATTAGACAACCGTCAGAATTTACAAATGTAAGGTGCCGTTACTGAGTACATAGATTCTCCTGTGAGTGGATGTCCCCCTTCTCCTACCCACTAACGAGACAGCAATGGGGTTAACTTAGTGAGCATGTGACCCACTGCTGCTAACGCTAACTCTCTCCTCAACCCCGTGCTTAGGTATGTGTGTGGGCTGGTTAGGTCGCACGGGCCACCTCTCTGACCATCAACAGCAAGATGAGCTGGCCTTGGGCTTTCGGTGCAGACTGACCGTGTCTGTCTGGATCAAGTGATCTGACCTCTCCTCGGTAGCAAGCACTCTCCGAACTGCTTCCTCAAAGGCCGCTGCGACATTCGTGGCATCTTTTGCACTTGTTTCAAAGTAAGGATAGTCGCCGTTGTCCCTGCACCAGGCTTGGGCTTCTTCTGCAGACACCTGCCGGTCACTTATATCAATCTTGTTGCCCAAAATCACAAAGGGAAAGCTTTCGGGCTCTTTCACATCCGCATAATATATGAATTCTTTCTTCCAGTTACTCAAGTTCTGGAAGCTCTGAGAATCATCGACACTGAAAGTAAGCAGGCAACAGTCAGAGCCTCTGTAAAACGGCGTCCTCAGGCTTCTGAATCGCTCTTGACCGGCCGTGTCCCAGATCTGCATGGTAACAAAATGTCCGTCCACCTCCAAATCTTTATTTAAAAACTCCACACCTATTGTGTGGAAGAGCTGGGTATCAAACTTATTAGTCACATATCTGTTCATTAGAGAACTCTTCCCAACTCCACCATCTCCAAGGAGAATTACTTTAAAAAGCGATGATTTTCCTGCCATTCTTAATCTCAAGATCTTTGATCTCAGAAGCCTGGAAAATAAAAAGGTACTGTTATATTCTGTCAGATCTGTACCCTGCTCTGCCTGCCTCTATGCATATGAGTGTCTAAGGAAAGTAGAACACTGAGTGCCAATTCCTTTCTGCACAGGAACACTGATAGCAAAGAGCTGTCATCTACCGAGCGCGCCACCTCCTCCCGGGCACCGTCCACCGAGGGAGCCACCTTGTGCCGGGCACCGTCCGCCGAGCGCACCACCTCCTGTCAGGCACTGCCCGACCGGTCCTCTGACACAGCTGTGGAGGGCTCACGGCTCACTGAGGCTGGCACTCAAGGCCCAGGCCGACCCCCAAGGTCATCGTCTCAAGTATTTCTCTCTGCTCACAAGAAACCAGCCCTGTCACCATTAGAGAGACAGCAGGAGACCGAAGTGGGCGCATTTCAGTGCCAACTGCAGACAGCACTCTGATGGCACAGTGACAGTGTCCACTGAAGGCATTCCTCTTGTGCCCGGGGCTTTCTGGGCAACCCCTGCTTACTCTCCACGGGGGCTGGTAACCAGGAAACCAGAGACCGGGCTGACGGATCTGGCGGTGAACAAACCTAAGCCAATGGCTGGCTAAAGGACTACTCTCTGCACTGTGAACACAATTCGGAGTTTGCTAACATTAACGTCTGGCTACTAATAGAAGTCAGATATTTCTTTCACATTTTAATTCTTGTGTTTACTCTTAAAATTATGAAAACAGATTGAATATACATTGCTACGGTGAGCTTTCTAATTTTTTCTCTGCAGATAATGATGACGTTTGAACTGAATAACTCAGATAAGACTTAGGACCTATATAATATGCTTTTCTTAATCAGATTTCTTTATAGGAACTGCTAAAGTCATGTTTTAACTTTGGTGGAGATTATTTCTTGGCTTTGGGTGATCCTTCCAAACTGGAGTATAAAAAAAGACTTCTTCATTTAAAAGGAAAACCGCATCTGAAAGCTGTCCATGACCTTTCCCAGCCTAAAAAAAGCCCTAGAATCAAATACTATACTTTATTCATTATTTTTTCCAAAAAGTTTTTCACCTGGCCCTGCGTACCCTACTTAAGTATCCCATTCAGACAGCTGTAAAACTTTAAGATGAAATGTAAAATATTTCATTCATTCTTCGAAAGGTGCCCAAATTTAGAGTTGTTTAGAATAAACACATTCCAGAGAATAAAATGAAGCGAACACAAAGAAAGAAAAAGAAGGGCCCCTCCAGGGAGAGGTGCCGATGTGACACAGCAGGGCTACGGCGGTGGAGAATGTCATGCAGCGTCTTTCCGGGCCGCCAAGGCAGAGGGGAAACGTTCTCCTGAGCGAAGAGAAGCCCGCTGTGGGAAAGGAGAACTGGCTCCTGGTGCCAAAGGCCAAGGGCGAGGGCCCGAGGGCAAGCTACCTGCCATCCCGCAGCCCCCGGGACTCTGGTGACAGCAGTACCTACCTCAGAGCTGCTGGGAAGAGTCACTCAGACACGGACACCGGGGTAGTGGCCCGCCACTGTGCCAGGCTCATTCTAGGAGTGCGGGAGTCTCTGTGGAAGGGACACATGAAGAAGTCTTTACTGGGAGTTGTATGGAGAGGCTTCTTTAAGGCATGTCTTCAGTCAGGTATATCAGCAAGAGTCATGGGCAGAGCAAATGAGAGGGCAGTGGACGCAGACAACTGAAGCCAAAGGATCCTGGTCCTGAAGATCGACTTCAGAGCGAAGGTTTCCGTGCCGACAAGGCGGAGCTGTGCTCAAGCACCAGGAACCTGCAGTCTAAACCAACAGTTCCAACCCCTGCCCCTCCCCTTTTTAAAAGCAAAGGGCATTTTTGTGGGACTTTGGTATAGCAGCCTGCAACTTATACATTCAATCAATGGGAAAAAATGAGACTTCAAAATCTTGACAATTGGGAGTTAAGGATAAAATCACCACCACCACCACCACCACGCTAACACTGAGCCCTGTAAGCTCTGCCTCTGCTTCACCACCCTCACTCCTCACCAGTCTCTCATCACCCCATCCACAGGTGAGGACTGACTCAGAGAGGTGACATTCCTCACTGGAGGTCACACAGCTAGCAAAGGCTGGGAGTGCGGTGGATCGGAACACACTGACTGTTAACCCGCAGGCGCGGCAGTCTCAGCTGCCTCTGTGTTTATTTTGGATAAATAAAATGTTTCCTGTTGCTGTTGCAGGTACAGTGCAAAGAAAGGGTCTCAGTGGGAGGTCTTCCAGCGGCTTCCTTTATTTCAAGATCTGCACAAAAACAAGTGAACCTGACAGAACTAGCAGGATTCAGTCTATTGACATGTCTCCCTAAGTTTATTAGTCTCCAGAATTTGAACAAGTCTTAAATGAAGTAAGAATCGCGTGGGCAGGACTCTACGGCACCCCTCCCCACCAGAAGCCTAGCAGTCCCTGCAGCGGATGGGAAAGCAGCTTTGCAAGGAGTACTCAGTGAGTGCCTCCCCGTGCCAGGCACCCAGGAAGCAGGCGCATCCAGTGCACAAACCCACTTGTGTTACAACTGTAGCAAGTCTTACAAATGAGAGGTACCTGGAATGGAGTACAACTATTCACACTCAATCAAAGGCCAACAAATAGCTTAAATGGTGCAGGGGATCAGCCCCTGTGGCTCCCGAGGCCAGATCAGGCCCAGGTATGAGCATCCCAAGGCGCTGCATGATTCCAGCCATCAAGGGAATGAACTTCTCACCCAACACGATCCTGTAACACAGCCAGCTACTTCCCCTGCCTCTCAGTTAAAGAAAAAGTGGTAACTTCCTAGGCCAGAGGAAAACTGGCTGTGTCCACCTGGGTCCGTGAGAGACTATACACCGGTTTCCAGTGTGGGCTGCTCCATGGCAGGGTCTCAGTGACCCTTTTTGTTGCATGCTGTCCTTAGGACCAGCCTCCCCAAGGTCTGAGTCCACAGGAGGAGGGTTTGACCCAGGGCAAGTGGGTCGGACCCTAGGCAAAGCTCAGCAGGAGGAGAGAACTGGGAGAAGGGGGGAGGGAGCCGGGAACCAGGGAAGCGGGACCAGCCGGGGCGAAGGCCCGCCAAGGCAGCCGCATGTCCTGGGCTCTCCCAGGGAAGCCTGAGCACCTGGCGCCTGGGGAGGACAGTGCTGTGCAGACGGGACTGGAGGGTGGGGCCTGGAGCCAGCGGGGCCTTAGAAACCACGGAAGGACTGCTGCCTACAAGCTCAGAGTAACTGGAGCCCTTCGACAGCTTCAGCAGCATGCAAACTGATCAGACGTGCAGTCCAGAAAGGTAACTAGCTGAGACGGAAAAGCAGGCTGTGACGAGGGCAGGAGGAAGGTCTTGGGTGGACCTTTCACAGATCCCTTATTCCCTCTCAACTACCAACGGTGTCAGCGAGCTTTGGGATTGAAAACGGCAGCAGCTGGGCCTCCTACCTGATTCTGCAGTGAGGCAGTCACCACGTGGCTCCACGCCTCACCGGCTCCCTCGGAAGCCCTCCTCTTGCCATCTGGCGTCCTGCTCACCTGCAGACGCAGCCAGCCCTCCTCTCCCACCAAAGCCCCTCCCGCTGCGCTCCTAGCACACCCTGACGTTCCGCTGTGTGTGGAGGCCACAGTGAAGTCGGCACGCCTACTGTGGCTAATAAAAACGAAACATGCTCCCTGAAAAGATTCAGTTAATGGAAATGTATTATACCAGACTTTTTTCCAAGTTGTTAGTTTTCTAGACCCTACCAAAAAATACATACTATTCTAAAACCTTTTCTCAAAAAAAAAAAAAATTAATTAATTAACAAAAGAACATTTGCAAAAACGTTCCCAGTGGGAAAACTGGAAATGACCTAAATGCCTAATTGGGGATGCTCTGCAGCCCCTGAAGAGTCATGGAGACATGGGACTGTAGAAACACTCTGTTAAGTGAAAAGCCCAAAAATGTGCACGCCTTGGTGACACCATGTGAAAGCTCACAGGTTAACATTAAAGTCTGCAAGAAAACCTCAAATAATCAATACCGAGGTCAATCTTCAAAGTTCTGCTTTGGTTGCAAAGTCATACTTGCCTTTTTAATATCAGAAGTATTTTTTAAAGCTTCATTTTCACTTAACGCGTAGCTTGACCAATGTTGTAACTGAAATAGAAATCACTATCTGTTAAATTTTCTTCAAATACTGCTATCTGCCAGACTTTAAGGACAAGAGCTTCCTCACTTTTTCTGTAATTCAGATTATATCAAAAAGAACTCAATATAAAACCAAACACACAAGCAACAAAAGAAAAAGTAGGTAAACTGAACTTCACCAAAATTTACAACTTTTGTGCTTCAAAGGACACTATCAAGAAAGTGAAAAGATAACCCAGAGAATAGGAGAAAATATTTGCAAATCATGTATCTGATAAAGGACCTGTATCCAGAATAAAGAACATCAACTAAAAAAAATTAAAAATGGGCAAAAATGATCAGCATTATCCAGTAGAGAAATGCACATCAAAACTATAATGAGATACCTACCACCCCACATCCACTAGGATGGCTAGACTCTGAAAGACAGACAGTAACAGCTGCTGATGAGGAAGCAGGAAAGCAAGAACCCTCATACACTGCCAGCAGGAAGGCAAAATGGTGCAGTGCTCATGGGAAACAGTCTGCGGTCCCTCAGCAAGTTCCACGGAGAGTTCCCACGTGACCCAGCAATTCCTCTCCTAGCTATATATTTAAGACAAATGAAAACACATCCACACAAAAACCTGTATGTGAATATTCAAAGTAGCATTATTCGTAATAGCTAAAATATAGAAACAACCCAATGTCCATCAAGTGATGAACAGATAATAAAATGTGGCCTATCCATATAATGGAAGATTCATCAGCCCTAGAAAGGAATGAAGTAGTAATGCATGCAACAATGTGGGTGGACCTCAAAATTATAACTGAAAGAAGCCACACACAAAAGGCCATATATTATGATTCCATTTATATGAAATGTTCATAGCAGGTAAATCTATAGATACAGAAAGTAGATTTGTGGTTCTAGGGAATGCTAATGGTATGGGGTTTCTTTCTTTCTTACTTTCTCTTCTTTGAGTGGTAGGGTGGGTGTGATAAAAATAATCTGGAATTAGACAGTGGTGATGGTTGCACAATTTAGAGGATATACTAAAAAGAACTGAATCATTTACATTTAAAAGGTAACTTTTATGGTATGCAAATTATGTCTAAAGACTACAAATACATATTTAAAGATACACTCACACATATGGCCTGAGAACTAGCAGTAAGATCCTAAAATTAGATTTACACGCACCACAAATGATCTCCTTGTCCATTCAGCAGTAGCCTTTTCTCTGGCCTTCTCCAACCTCTGCTGACTTCCCTTACTGGTTTACAATAAACCAAGGCAGAGTCGGATCCAAGCATGGAGAATATAAATTTCAAATAGAAATGTATGCATGGATTACAGGTAGACAATTTTATTGGTCATGGATCTAATTACCTCCATTCTTACAGATAACGAAACCCATTTATTTATTCCTTACTCTTATTATGTAGGATTTTGAGCATGACATTCAAAGAGCTATCCAGCCTCACACACCAGCCTGCCCCAATTATATGCCTACAAGTCACCATCCCCAAACCTATTACACAGGCATTTACTGTCCAGCCTGTGCTCAGGCCTTTACCTTGGACTGGGAGGCCCCTCCCTACACCTCCACAGCTATGAAAATGCAAGTCATCCAAAGTTCAGCTCATGCCAGAAGCCTTCTATGCCCCCTGCAACCTACTCTTTCTCTTCATTCTCATAATCACTCTGCCTCTATTACAGCTCTCATTCACTGATGCTCTAACCAACTGACAGTTGTGTTTGTGTGTTTCCTAATTAATGTCAGCTTCCTGGGAGGGACACACAACACCTAATGCCATCCATTCATTTGTCCCTTTTTGGTTCTGCAACACCTCACACAAAGCTTTCCATATGGTGAGGTACCAAATAAATGCTAAATTGAGAACAAAGAGTAAACGACTTCCTCCTTCATTCTTGTTATTCTATTCTTATTTTTCTATCTCTACTTTCTGTTCTTACAATTCTTTCTCTATTCAATCAGTTCTTCCTCTATTCTATTTTTGAGGTCCATTAAAATGTGTGGGAAGGGACAAAAAAATTGATTCTTACTTGAAAATCCAATAAGAAAACTACTTTAAAATTAGTATTATTGAAAGCAACAGGAAATGCAGAAAAGTGATGTTCCGCTAACAAGCTGCCTAAGGGAGAGTACACCAGGTTTGTAAACTGCTTTTGTTAAAATTTCAGATTTTCAAACACATACACTGTAACCCCTTGACTAGTTCTCACTTCCAAAATCGTAAATTGAATTTATCACTCCTGGTTTAAATTTAGGAACAGTTTTGTGTGGTTTTTAATTTTTTTCAAAATCACACATTCCTTTTGCACTCACCCTGAATGTCCTACTTAGAGGTATGCCACTTGCTTCATTTCATTTCATAGCTTGGGAAACTGAGGTTCAAAGAAACTAACCAAGGAAACAAAAGCATGGATCACCTCTAAATTATTTCTAGTTTCATGCGAGCCGTATTTATTGTCTTACAGCTTATAAGACACAGGTGTATCTCCCTTAACAGCTTAATTAGTTCCATTCTTTGTTTCTAGTCTTTCTGGTGTCTTGCTGATATATGTGAGCAAGAAGCAAGTCAAGGAAGTCATTAAGTCTAATGGGAGCTATCTCTACGGCAAGAAGTCGACCAAAGAAAAAGGAAGAAGAATAAGCAAATGCCATAGGAATAAACCAACCTGGAGGCACAACTTGCCACATTAAATAAATTATCTAGTTGGCCACTGAGCATTACCTCAGAGAGACAGCTAGACAAGGAAAAAACTGTGTAAATCAGACGAGGCTGTAACGATGT